TCGTTACACCAGGCAAAATTTGACGGACGGCTTGCCACACAGACGACTCATAATCCTTTACCACTTTCCGCACAGCCATTGCAGGCAACAATCCAACAATGTGCCTTAATACCGCCACATAATCAACGATCTTCCTGGCAGACATGACCACAAAGACCAGGGGAACCTGCTTGGTGGTGGTGCCTGATCTGATGAAGCTATGAATGGAGAACAGTTGATAAAAGGGATCCTTTACCAACTTGAACGTGCCATCCACATACCTGAAAACCAAAAATAAATATATACATTTGATATCAATGATTATACATATATTAAACGAAATTAGGCTTTCATCATCAACATTACGAATGTAGAGAGAGAACAAAAATACAATAAATAGGTCAAGTAAAACTAACCAAACAGTAGATCTTTCAAGTAGGCTTAGCATATAGGCAGTTGCAAAGATGATGTGACGGTAGCCATCGACAACAACATCACCACGAAGGAATCCTGGAGCAATGTGGTCCTCGTCAATAACAAAGTTAAGATCGGCGGGTTGATTCGGCCGCGACAACTTCCTTTTCAGATTCGCTTGTCTCGCCAGATCCCTAGGTTTCGGCAAAGTAGGATGTAGCGCTATTTGGCCGGCACCAATTTCATCTCGCATAATCTGTTAAAAAAATCATACATAAATATACTCCTATATTATTATGATTCAATGAATTCGCAACAGTTTTTATTTGTAAATTACATCATGTACTTTTGTATTTTATGAATGAAACTGACCTTATCCACTATCTCTGCTGCAGACTCGAATGGGTTGTCCATGGCTTTTGCCTTTACATCTCTCCGGATAATCGCCACTTTCTCACGCCCTGTTAGAAAAAAGTAATGTTTATATCTTATATTGATCGGACAAAATGGTATAGGCATACATCTACAAATAGGTGCTTATAATAATGAAATAATGAAAAATTATCAATTGACCACTTACCTGGAACAACACCACAGATATGCTCATGTATGCCGCGAATGAATGTTCCGTCTTTCTCCACGACCGTCGCCTTACATGTAATGTTCTTGTTTCTAAGGCAACATCTCCATGTGATGTTACGGCATCTTTTGTCGACCTTTTCCGAGTACTGATACCCCAGACTGTCCATTAATGTGTCCTGAGAAGTAAAAATTACAAGGATTAAACGTCACAAATTATAAACATTGAAACAATTTATACATAAAAAATAATTGTAAGCATTTAAAATGGTTATGCTGTACTTGCCTTTCCACGTTTTGTTGTACCTGGTAGTCGCCTGTAGGTGATGACATCATCTTGCGCTGGCGCGATTGGGTTTGGTATTGGGTAAGGGTCCGGCACTTCCATTTCCTGGTGAACAATCGGCTCAGCAAACTCCCCTAGGTCAGCAGCATACACATCTGGTTGTGCTACGGGTTCAACGTTGTTAGCCGGAGTGCACTGCCTACAGGACCATTCCAAATAACCATCTCGGACGGCTATTCTATATGCAGCTCGTGTTACGCCCGAGTCGCAGGTCCGATGTTGTCATCTTTGACACTCCTCGCAAAAGAGGCCCTCTTGCCGATGGGTTACAGCTTCTAAACATTCGATGCATTCGTACATGATGATAACTCAAGAATAAGTAACCATCCTCAGAAACTGGGTTACTTTATAGGGGATGTGCGCGTTTGTGTAATAATATTGTTATATTGATTTACAAAGAATTGTCTGAGGCACCGCCGGGCTATCGTACGGGCGCTTCGTCGGTGCTTTTAATATATTTTTTCACACCTCCGCTATTGTTACATCAGGATCAGATTAAACGCATTATTATTTTCAATAATGCAGTATGCTTTACATTCGTACGCCTAATGATAGCTCCGATGAAATCACTATATTTTATTTATCATTAATGATTACTATTTAATCGTGTTAGTGTATAAGGTATTTTAAATACAGTAACCAGTCAATCACCTTTTTTATGGAATGAAACGTATAATTGTTTATTTAGTCTATTATACATAAATATAACAGAAATGTGTTTTGAAGCTAAGCGATCAAACATAAATATAAATATTAAGTGATGTTAGAACAGTAAGATAAACTCATTAAAAGACAGTCAAAAGTATTAAGATATATTATTAAAACACAGGACGAAGAAATAAGACAAAGAGCAGAAAATGCATTAAAATAGTATAAAATTATTGCATTTATGTTAAAATGATTAAGACCCAGTTTAAAATAGTATAAAATTATTGCGTTTATATTAAAATACATATCGACAGTGAAAGCAAAGAGCAGAAAATGCATTAAAATAGTATAAAATTATTGCATTTATGTTAAAATGATTAAGACCCAGTTTCAAATAGTATAAAATTATTGCGTTTATATTAAAATACATATCGACAGTGAAAGCAAAGAGCAGAAAATGCATTAAAATAGTATACACACCACATACACACCACAAAAATGTATCTTTCAATAATTTTATTTCAGCAAATTCGTACAACGTTCAATGAACACATTTTTAATTAATTTGAATGATATACATTGTAATAATTACGGTATATTTTTATTAACTTTCAATTTATTGGTGATCCGCTAACACTAGCGGATCACCTCTTGTTATTGTCAGGATCATCATCATCTTTTTTTTATTCTTTCTTTCTCCCCTTTTTTGTTCGCACGATATCTCAAAAACTGCCACGAGTTACGCAAAATC